GATTTATAAAGATTTGTAAATACTTCTTATGCAATAAGAATAATAATAACAGAGAATGGTTATCACTTCCGGTGCATTTGGCCTTATCGATAACTGGTCAGGAGCTATTGCTCAAATTTACGCCCGAACGCCCTGTTTATACAATTTACGGCCTATCTAAATGTCAATATGTTTCTTGTTTCAATTAGTTAAATCACTTTAACATTCAATACAAAAGGAATTAATTGCAATACGATAATGGTTTCCGAAATATAGCGCTAGCAAAATTACCTGTTTTCCCAACGAAAGATATCTGCCACAAGCCCTGTCAGTCCGGTGAAAAAGTTTATTTTGTAATGATCGTCCTCCTCGTGGGCACAAAATAGACTATAGGAAGTTCATTGTCTCTCCCTTACATAGACAAAGAAACGAAATCTAAACATGACCCTGTGACCTACCGGCATTGACCGGTCGCCGGTTAATGGTCTGTTTCTCGCATCCGAAAAATCGACCGGCGCGCGCAGCTTAGTGAAGTGCCTAGTAATGACAATTTTGGCAGTGCTTGCTTAGAATGACCATGGGCCCTAATAATTTTTATCATATGACTACATAACTGAGCCCACATTCAGTTCATTTAAGAAAACCAATGGCTATGACTCATGAGAAAGTCTGCTAATACTTATAGTTGGTTTGAAATTTGTTTAAATTTGGTAGTCCTATACTCCAACTATACTTCAATCTGTACATGCAAGGCAGATCAATGAAATGTTGAATATTCACCTTACCGGAGTGCCTTGAATTAAAAATTTAAGAATTTTTTAAAACTGATACTAAATAATAAATATAGACAGTTAAGTGTGAAGATAGCATCATCAAGACTATGACTTGTTTGAGCAGCCTTCTTAAAAAAAAAAATGAAAAGAGGTACATAGTTATGAACTGCAATGCTTAAATTTTTTAAATTTTAATAAAATAGAAAAGTTTCTGATGGGGGGTTCATATTTGGTGCACAGGTTACCCTAATTTTTTGGCCATGCTGAATGTGTAACCAATATGTATGTATGATTATCTTAAAAATAATTGAAATTGTTCATGTTAATTTAATGATTTTTATAGCAAGGTATACATTTTAGTTGATCTGAGTATTTTTAGTTTAATTATCAGTCATTTTAAAATTCATCTCAGTAATTAGAAGTCCCCTTTGATCTTACATGGCATACTTAAAATCCATTGCATCTTTCCTACACATTGTTTAAAGCTAGTGTTTATTGCTAATATAAATAATATGAACAGGGTTTGACTGTTCTTGAAAATGTTTTTTTTTTAAAATGTATAATTTTGTCATGTGAAAAAAGTGATATGCTTGTTTCTTTAGAAGTTGTACATATATTTGTACAGCATGAGATATCTGCTTTGAAATAATAAGGTTCCTTTATGCATGTAAAGCTTGGACTAGCTAGTTCTGTGAATTTTACTATAAAAAAGATCCACCTTTTAAGAAAGTTAGTAAGTTGAGGTAATTTGTGAATGTTGCTCTGACTGTTCCTTACTACCAAAATAAGTTTCAAGTAATTTTTCCTAAAACACCTTGTAACATGCACACTACCTCACTGACAAGCTCAATGGTAATAATGATTCAAGTGTTAATGAGCTTACACCCTTAAATATTGACTGGTTTGTATTGAATATGATTTTGCTATTTACTTCATCAGCAATACAGATTCCTTTTAAAATTAGAAACATTAAGATTGATAAGAAAGAAACATATGTCCAATGCACTCTATAAGGGCAAAGTTTTGCTCATGAAGAAACTTCTTAACCTCTTCCCTCAGTTACACAAGACATGAAAGAACACCTTATAAAGCAACAAGTCAGAGTCGAATGTGATTAATCGGGTCTTGAAATTGAATGGCAAAACATCTCATTTCCAACCTCTAACTGGATCTGCCCTACTTCACCACACTACACTGTTAAGCATTCCATCTGTTATAAGGGAATAACGTTGTCTGGAAATTGGAAATTTCTGCAGACCAGCGGTTGAAAACCACTAGCTTATCTCATTTAAAGATAAATTTCA